GTTATGCATATGAGTGTGTTACCTGCATATGTGTGTGTGTGTGTGTGTGTGTGTGTGTGTGTGCCATGTGTGCAATGTCATAGAGGTTAGAAGAGGGGGTCAGATCCCCTGTAACTGGAGTTATAGATGGTTGTTAGCCACCATGCAGGTGCGGGGAACCCAACCCAGGTTCTCTACAAGAGCACAATGCTCTTAACCTCTAAGCCATCTCTCCAACCCATCCAATTTATAATCTTCTTGAACTCACTATTAGCTTTTTGCCTCCCATCTACATGTGTGCTCATGTACACACACAAACACACACACACACACACACACACACACCACATATAAACTTTTTCTGCATGGATGTCAATGGCTTATATGTTGCCTCAGTGGTCAATTTTTAGTCCTAGAAATCCCTCTTTCACTGCGCACCCATCTTCTTACTGGTCCTACTATGCTACTACAAGAGCCTACATCAACCTCACTAAAGACCTCTGTGTTGGTTAATCCAATGGTGAATATTAACCCTGTATTTTACTGGCACATGGTTGAAGCTGTTAATCTGCTAGAAACACCCCCTAGCACTGTGTGGTGAGGACCCTCCATCTTGGACACAGCCACATGTCTCTTTTCTAGGCTTGGTGGGTACCACCAGCCTGGGGGATTTGCTGAATAGCTCAAATGTTCCAACGTCTAGAGCTCTGTTTTGTGCTTATCTGTGGTGGTTTAAATGAAAATGGTCCCCATAAGCTAAAAGTATTTGTACATTTTGTCCCCACTTGGTGGCGCTATTTGGGGAGTCTTTAGGAGGTGTGGCCATGCCTTAGGAAGCATGTCACTGGAGGCAGGCTTTGAGAGTTCTTAAGCCTTGCCAGATCCCCAGTCCCTCTCTGCATCCTGTGCCTGCTTGAAGATGTGGACCTCTGCTTTGTCCTCCAGCCATCTCCTGCTACCATACTTCCCAGCCATGATGGGCTCTTGCCCCTTTGAAACCGTAAGCTAAGTAATCTTTTCCTTCTATAAGTTGCCTTGGTCATGGTGTCTTATCACAGCAACAGAAAAATAACTAAAATAATCCCATTCTCCCCCCACCCCTTGGGTCATGAGCCCTTCCTTGCAGTGTATATCTGGGTCTGGTCTCCTGATTCTTGAGCAAACACTTGCTGGTTTTCAAGGAAGCCCTTAGAAATAACAAATGTGCTTACACCTCTACTTATGAGTTATTACATAATAATAGTAATGAATGGCAGATAGATTTTGCTATGTAAAGACCACAATATTTTACATAGCCACAATAAGTGGGAAGTATTACAATTCTCATTTTCATATGTAAGTAATGTAGGGCTCAGAAGGGCTGAGGTCATTTATTTGGGAACATCTAGCTAGCATCTGTGGGGGACCTGGAATTCAACCTCTGTCCTATCCAAAGCAGAGCACAGAAACGTAAGCATTGCCTGGTGCTGTGTCTACCTTCCCTGTTAGTCGATCTGCTCTGAAGCCTGCTTGCCCTCTGCTAGCCTCTTCATCACCCTCAGTGCCTGGCATAGATCATTCATTCTCCAGATAGCTACTGTCACTCTGCCAAGCACCTCGATTTCGTGCAGTGTCAGGTAATTAACAAGCTAAGCATGGTTTTTGTGAAGTAGTATATTTCTCTTGGCCTAAAAGGGAAAGCCTGCTGTGTATGTGCTACAGTTTGGGCCACGCTAGTGCAGGAACACACAGACTTTATGAATAGCAGCTCCGATTTCATCCTTAACCTACATATGTAGGAGGACACATGGCAATTTGATGTTTGTTATTAAATTTGATAATTCACAACTGACAAGGGAGTTGCTTACTGTTATTCTGATCAATGGCTAGTTTGGTTTAGTTATGAAAACACAGCTGCTGTGTTAACATTTTGTTTATATGCAGCTTGAATAATAAGAGGCATATCTTGAGTACAAATAGCCAGAGAGAGGATAATACATCTCTACACACATAAGTGCACATACACACAGAAAACCTACACAATAAATGTGAATCTATATTTCTAACAGAACATTAGAAAATACAATGTAATCCAGGGAAGTATTTATTCCCTTAACACTAACTAAAAACTCTTCTTCCATCGCCCATATCCTCATTTCTGCTCTGTCACCCTGGTCACCTGGGAAGACCCTCTTTCCTTTACCTCCTTCCACACTCCATCTAATGAGCTGCCTGCCTGTCTTATCAATTACACATCCCTGGAGTTGCTCTCTCCTGTGATTCCTGCAGCCTCTCTTTCCTGGAAACTCTCTTTTCTGCCCTACCACAGGGATCTTCTTAAAGCTCAGATCTGACATACAAAGTCCCTACTAGATACCCTTCTGAAACATGCCTGCTGCCCACGGGATACCATGCAGTCTCTTGGCATGACACTCAAGACAGCCTTAGCTTGTCCAGCCTCACAATCTAGCTTCATTTCTCACAGTTCCTCGCCACACAAACACTTCTGGCAAACTCCTCCTGGTTTTTCATCAATCACTGTACATTTATGCCTTGAACTCCCTGGGGATGCCTCTCTCTGCACTTCAGCAGCCTGGAAGCCCCTCTTTTATTTTGATTAATAGGTACAGGTCTATGCAAAATGACTTCCTGGGAGGACTTGGGCTATCGTGACCTTTGACCTTATGTTAGGCATTGCCAAATTCCCTTGCCTGACCTAAGCATCCCATACAAGGTCAATATTGTATCTGAGTTCTCCCTATGCATTCCTGTATCACTGAGTCTAGAACCTGGTAATGATGACTATATAGCAAATATTTGGAGGACTGGGAAACAATAACAATAATTTCCACAAGTCCTTGTAACCATACTACAGATGTGCTTATAAAGAAGAAGAGAAAGTGATTAATCTCAGCCTGTAAGAAGAAGGTGCCTGGGATCCTCTGGTGAGGGAGCTGGAGCCACTTGCCTATTTTGGCTACTCAAGATTCAGTCATACTTTCAGCAAAAGTAAATGCCTACTAGTCATTGGAGAGGATGATAGCCCAGGGGAATGCAGACAAATCAGACAAGTCTTCATCTCTTTGAGCTCCAGTACCACTAGAGAAGAGGCTTGCTTACATGCGAGGTACTTCAAATTCAAGTCTGGACACACATTGAGTGCAGATTTGTTCCTTTCCACAGCAGCCTAGGACAGACCCAGTAGCAGTGATGGATAGGCAGCCTTGGTTAAAGGGTAGGCTCTGTGTTAACTTCTCCCCACCCCACCCTGCTCTGTGTAAAATCTCCCTAGAGAAATATCAGCTACATTATTTGAAATGACCAGGAAAAACATAGGGGCACTTGTTCAGAAAGAGGGTGAAAGAAAAAGCACTTCGGAAAGTCTGGGGGCCTTCAGTGTAGGGGAGAAGCTGTGTGGACTTGCATAGGCCACATGCTGACCAAGGTGGCTCTGCCACTGGGCTTGGAAGGAGCAAATACAAGAAGGCCCAAAAGTGCTCTTTAGTAATTTCTCTATTGCATCAGAGCCTGAAAGGAGGCCCAGGGCCTGGTGGACTTAGTGACACTAGGCCACTGGAAGCTGTGCATGTACCAGTAACAAATATTTCTTGAGTGTTTACTGTGTGCTCAGTAATCTAAGTTGGAGTAACAGAGTGGAAAAGCAGGCGTTGTGTGTGTGTGTGTGTGTGTGTGTGTGTGTGTGACAGAGAGAGAGAGAGAGAGAGAGAGAGAGAGAGGTGGGGGGGTTTACTTCAGTGATGAAGGCCCAATATAAATAAGCTCAGAAAGAAATGTCCACGAAAATCATCAGTTAGAAAGCAGTGCCCTGAAGATGACAAAGCAGAGTGATGCGATGGGGGAGGGCGCTGCAGAAAGCGTATTAGATTAGTGTGGTACAGTCAAACCTCTTTCCACAGAGCCCTCAGGCAAGCTAGAATGCCCACAGCGCTTTCAAGAGCAACAGGTGAGGGAGGATGCTGTTAGCTTCCAACATGAGCCTGTCATACAAATCTCTCCTGTGCCTTCCCCTCTGAAGTTAATGAGGAGCATTTATGCAAAAAAGTGGAACTCCAAGTAGGTTGTAGATTTTGGGGGTGTATCTCCTGCTCGCCACCCCCCAAACACAGGCACTGCCGCTTCTTGCTTCAGGCCTGCTTATTTCTCCCTCAGGTACCTCTGGAGCCAAGACCCCAGACAAATCTGGCCAGCCTATTGTGGAGAGGCAGTTCCCAAGCCTCCTTTGACTTGCAGGCCTTAAGGCTGTAAAGAAAACAGCGTTGGGTCAGTGCCCCTGTGGAAATCAGAGAAACTCTTCCAGTGAATGTCTCTGATCCTTTGCTGGCGACTCTTAAACCTCGCCCCTTGAACACCCGTGAAATTGGGCCATGGAATGCCTCAGATCAGAGGTTACTAGGGAGACCCTGGGCATCTCTTCTTTCCTGCACCAAAGACTGTAGTGAATTGCCGTGCTTCCTTTGGATACGAACGGAAGTGCTCTAAAAGGCTGTTAGGGTGCAGAGTGAGACCAGGAAAAATTGGTGAGGCCAAGACTAGATGTGGAAGAGTGATGGGTTGCAACAGGTGGTGAGGAAGAACAGAAGGGCCGGAGACTACAGCATGCCAGGAGGCTGAAGGGATCGCAGAAAAGTGTCCCTTCCTTGCGTGCCCCCACCCCCCACCTCTGGCTCGGCCTGCAGCTGCTCTCAAGACCACAACCGCTGGCGCCTTTTCCCCAAGCCCGAGGCGCGCGCTGCAGGCTGGCCTTCTCCACACTCCTCCCCGCCCTCCCCGCCCTCCCCGCTCGGGCTGTCTGGCAGCGCCGCAGTGCTGGCTCCGGGGGGCCTTGGCGACCGGGCTCCCTCCTCTCCCCCTGCCCGCCCCAGCCTCCCTCCCTCCACTTCCCGCTGCCGCAGTGATCACGTCGTCGGAGATTTCCATCGGGGCTCCGGGGGCGGGCTTAGGGTGGGGAGCGCGGGCTGGGGCGGGGCGAGTGGGAGGAGTGAAAGTTGGAGCGCAACAAAACCCTCCACCTCGCGCTCGGTGCTGCCAGACCTGCACTGCGACCTCTGCACAGGTGGTCGTGCCAGGCTCTGCCGCGATGTTGCCCAAAGTTCTCCTGATGCTTCTCAACATCTTCCTGGCCCTCCAGTGGAGGTAAGTCTCCATCCTGGCACCCTGGAGCCCTAGGTGCCTAGCAGGCTCCCGGGATCCCGGAGCCCAGCTAGTGCTTTGCCCTGGGTTCCAGTGTGGGCCAGCTGGGTCCTGAGTCCCCCCGATGTGCGCTAGGTCCCGCGGGCCCCCTAATGGACGGGCATCCTGGGCTGCGGACGGGAAGGCCCGGGGAGCACGACGGGACGGTCCTCAGCCCACTGACGTCGTGGGCTCTGTCTGGCCCGCCAAAGCCCTGCAGCCGCGGCCAGGCAGCGAGCACTCTGTTCCCTCGCGGAGTCTGGCGTAGAAAGGGAGAAAAAGGCGCGCAGAACCTTCCTGAGCTGGCGCGTGCAACTCGGGGTTGAGCTGGGGACTTTTGGAAGGTGGGTTCGAGACTGGGAGACCAGAAGTGCCTGAAATGTCGTGTTGTCTGATTTGTTCACTCTTGCTTACGTTTTTAATATTTATTTTTTCTTTTATTTTTTATTATTTATATATATATATATATATTTATTTATTTTCAGCGCCTACCAAGCACCAGGCACTATGCCAGGCAACTCTGACTTTACTTGCTTTCCATCCCGTTACTTCTTTTAGTAGCAGACAGGAGTCTTGGTTTCTTCGAAGGTTTTCTGCCCAAGCTGCCCTCCACCCCTTAGCTGTTGCCTCCCCTTACCTTTCTAGACCCCAGACACCCTGCTGGCTCTTGGGTACACCTTTGAGATCTGTGGTTTGGGGCCTGGGTTTCAATCCTTTCCCTCTTTTCTGGTCTCCAGGCTTTGGACATTGATAGGATGTGTGTCCTCAGGATTTCTGACTTTTACGGGTGGAAGATGACTGTTTCATGGTTTTTTTTATTTGTCCTTTTTTTTTTTTTTTGAGACTGTCTTGTTGGGTGTGAACTGTCACAAGTTCTTAAGCTTCCGGATCTGTTCAGCTTTCTCGAAGTCTCCATGGCATTGCTCTTGTTTGTCTTGAAGAGGGGCAAGATGTCTTCGCTCCCAACCCAAGCTAATAACTCCTTGGGGAAGGACGTGAGGCTCTCTGCTGGTTCTCTTGTGCCCTAGGATTGCACTGACCTCAGGAGGGGCTTGGAAAATGTTTTTGAATGAATATTAGGGATTTCTACTTATCCACATCCCTCTATATAGAATTTTGCTGGACCAAAAAGATGGCTGGTGATGAGAGAGGGGGCATGAAGAAGGGAGGGGGATGAGAGGGAAACACAGCCGTCCGGCGGGGTGGGGGGTGGGGGAGGGGGGAGAGATGCTGACGTGCAGACACTGTCAGCATGGCAACCTGTGATGTCAAGAAAGAGGAGGCAGCAGTGGGGGTGTGCTGGGCCAAACCTCACTTTGGTCAAGGCTCAATCTCAAATCAGTTGAGTGACTTTGAGCAGCCCTTCCCCCATGTGGGCTTCAGTTTGTCCATCAATAAAGTGAAAAGGAGAGTGAATCTGAGGAAGAGACCCAGGTCCTTCCTCATGCTCCTTTGCTCCCCTCTCCAGCCAAATTATAGTGCAGAGCCTCAACCTCATACTGAAGGGATGCGGGTGCGTGAAAAGCTTCCATGGAAAATCCCACTAGTTTAGGGTATGGGTGGTTTCCAAGATTTTATTTTTTCTAACCCTGAAAATGAACTTGGTGGCTTGCTGGCAAAGGTTGTGTGTAACCAGGAGCTCCTTAACCCCAAACATCCCAGGGTGTGGCTATTTGTTTACACTGGCAAAATCTAATTTGAGTATTCAAGCAACCTTCCGTCCCTCTGAGATAATTTTTCTTGCAGACCTAGTAGAGGGTCTCTCTTCCACAGTGTTGGTCCTTATCTCTTCAGAGGACTAGGGGATTAGCCTCTGGGTGCAAAGGGGACTTTAAAAGCCCCAGGGAAGAAGCTATATTCCAGATATGGTATTTAAAGGTGGAAATGATTTCCTCAAGCCCAGTCATTGCCTAGCCCACAATGGGAATTAGCCATTTCAGAAGTGAGAAATGGCCCCAGCTTAATACATCTGTATGCCAATTAAGCAATTCTAGAAATTGGAATACTGCTAAAAAAAAAAAAAGGCAGTTTGCTGCACAGTTGGTAACCCCTTGATCTGTAGCACAGGGATGCAACCACCTTGTTCTTCTGCTCTATATAGCCCTTATTTTAGGAGCTATGTAGAGCAAGTGGCCTGATCCCTTTTTAAGTATATAAATTAGAAAACACAGAAATCATAAGCAAACAGCCCAGTAGATTTTCACAAGGTATACATGATCATGTAACTAATACCTAGATGAGGAAATGATTATCAGCCACCCACCTACCCCAAGCCTCATCAAATACACAATTTCCCTAAAGGAAATCGCTCTCTTTGCCTTCCAACATCACACATTAATTAGGGCTGATAGCTTTTCAAAAGCTTTTAACTGTATTTTTGCAAAGATCTAGAGAACTAGAGAGAACAGTATACTGAATCTCTACATACCCATCACCATCCTTAATATTTATGAATGAATTGGTTAATGGTCACTCATTGCCTCTCTCCCCTACTCACTATCATTTTAGCTAAGAGTTTTTGGAATAAATCTCAGATATCATATCATTTTGTATGTAATTATTATAGTCAGTGAAGACTTTGCCAATAAAAGAAAAATACATTAAACATTTAAGAAGAATTTATTCATAGTTCAACTATTCAGTCTTCAAATTCCTACTATTTCACCATATATTGTTTTTACAGTTTGCCTTTAAAAATCGGTATTCAAGTATGATCCATAGATTAGCATGTGGAGTATTTTTATTGTTAAAATGCCTCTAATAGAAAAGAGGTCATATCATAAACAAACAGCTGATGAGGTGTCAGGAAATGACCATGGGGGTGTAAACAAAGAAACAAATCCCACTTCTTTTCACAACCTGACCTCTAACACTGCAAGAGACTTTCACAAATTAGTAGGTGGATATTTTTATATTTTAAAGAAATACTATCTTGTTGTTTTTGTCATTGTCATTATTGTCTTGGTGCCTGGCTGTCATGTTCAAGATGCTCTCCTGTCCACCAACTAGTTCCCAGATACAGCACAAAGTACAGAGACCATAAGAAAGAGGTACTCTCTGTAGGTGGGGCCTTCATTCCTCCACCTCATGCCTCCAATACAGCGAGGATTACAAACCATCCCAGGATTTTTAGTCCTGTGTGGGAGAGGCTGCCCTGGATTTTGAAAGCATGCCTCAGCAGCACTGGCCCTCGGCTTGTGCCTTCCTCTCAGGCAGATGGGAGGCCGAGGCTAGAAACAACAGCCAGTTGGCCAGAGTTCACACAACAATGCCCACCCATCTCATTCCATATAAGACGGCCTTTGACAATTTAGTTTAATATTTGTTGTTGACTGTTTTTTTAAAATAAAGAATTATGGAAGATGGATCACGTAGAAAGTCCCAAAAGAGCAGTGAAATTTAAAAGGAATTATCAAGTATAATCTGTTAGTGCCTCATCGGTTCCTATTGCCACTCACTAATTAAGCCTTGTGTTGCAAATAATTTCATTTGTTTCTATCCCAAGAGGCATCAGCCCTAACCCTTAGTGAGGTGAGAACAATGCTTCATGGTCTTATGTTCCAGGGTCGGACCTCACGTCAAACTGGAGGATGAATCCCCTGCTCCTGAGGACGTCGTCTTCGGCCCCCAGCCTCAGCCTCAGCCTCAGCCCCACCCTCTGCCAGAGCCCCAGGCTGTGCCTCAGCCTCAGTCTCAGTCTCAGCCCCATCCTCTGCCCCAACCCCAACCTCTGCCACAGCCCCAGCTTCTGCCTCAGCCCCAGCCCGAGCCCCAGGTCCAGTCCCAGCCCCAGCCTCTGCCTTTGCCGCCTCATCCTCTGCCTGAACCTCTGCCTCATCCTCTGCCTGAACCTCTGCCTCATCCTCTGCCTGAACCTCTGCCTCATCCTCTGCCTGAACCTCTGCCTCATCCTCTGCCTGAACCTCTGCCTCATCCTCTGCCTGAACCTCTGCCTCATCCTCTGCCTGAACCTCTGCCTCATCCTCTGCCTGAACCTCTGCCTCATCCTCTGCCTGAACCTCTGCCTCATCCTCTGCCTGAACCTCTGCCTCATCCTCTGCCTGAACCTCTGCCTCATCCTCTGCCTGAACCTCTGCCTCATCCTCTGCCTGAACCTCTGCCTCATCCTCTGCCTGAACCTCTGCCTCATCCTTTGCCTGAACCTCTGCCTCAGCCCCATCCCCAGCCCCAACCTGAGCCCCAGCTCCAGACCCAGCTTCAACCTCTTCCTGAACCTCTGCCTCATCCTCTGCCTGACCCCCAGCCCCAGCCCCAGCCCCAGCCCCAGCCCCAGCCTCAGCATACTGAAAGGAAGCTCACTGAGGAAGAAACAGAACTCAGTGTTAATTTCATGACTGGTCCTGGAAGTTCAGGTCGCAAATTGACAAAAGCGTCTCGAATCCTGAACACCATCCTGCATAACCGTAAACTGCACCCTGGCATTGGAGGTGAGTAGGAAGAGGACACTTCTTATTTTGTAGGGAATGCAAATTGTGGATATAGGTCTAGAGAATGGGTGAGGTGTAGACAAGGGAGCCAAAAACATGGACAGAAACTTGTACAGCTCATCCACCTGGTAAGAGGCAATGACTCTAGTATTAGGAATGCCCTGGACCTTGGTCAACACTTTTCACTTCTCTTGCCCTCAGTTTTACTAAGTCTAAAATAAGACAAGTGATATAAAAGTATATGCCTAATCCTTACAGTCCATGAGCTCGCACTTGCCATGAAAGAACAGATAAGAAAGGAGATGGATCAGCCCTCTTCTCTCCTTTTTCATCACTCACTGCTTGGTGTCATGCTCCCATTTGACTCTTACCCTCTGCTTGCTTCCCCTACAGAGAAGCCCACTCTGGTCACCGTTGAGGTCTCTGTCAACAGCTTTGGACCTATTTTCATCCACAACATGGTGAGTACTGAACTTTGATGACAGTTTTTCCTAGCCGGGCGACAAGATAAGTACCCCATCTTAAGGCCTGCCTCTTTTTCTTGCTTTCTGCTGTTTTTTTTTTTTTTTTTACTACTACAAGAGGTTTGCTGTTGTTGTTTTTGTTTTTGTTGTTGTTGTTGTTGTTGTTGTTTTGGTGTGAATGGGGATTTTACCCATCACTGAGTTGAGAACATGACTGGAAAAGGTAAGTCCCTTGCTGCCTGAAGAGGACCTTCAGAATTGTGACTGTAATCTGCAGTCTTTCATTCAAAATAAAAAGAATAAAGCAACTTTAAACACCACAATGGAATGTGTCTTTTTCTGATTATTCCTATGAACTCTAATATTGTCGTAGTGTCCCGTCTTCTTCCCTTCCTACTGGAATAATATGATCCCAGGTCAACCTTAATCATCTCCTATCTGGAATATGCAAATATTTCGATACTCAGTCCTGCTAAGCAGGCGTCCACAGTGATGTGCCTACAGCTTTGACCCTACTTCTAGCATGTAGTTCAACCTCACAGTCTAGGAAGCAAGCCTTCTCTCATGCCTCTATTCTTTTTCACCCTATTAGAGCCCACAGGTTGTGACTGTACTAGAATATGAACCTTCCAGTTCAATATTGTACATCTGAACAGGGTCTTTATTCAAGTGGTTTCCTGTTTGAGATGCTGTTTCTCTAGTCTTTCCCTTGTCAAAAGCCTTCTCCTTCAGGGTCCAGCTCAGATGACATCTTATTTGTAGCAACTTATTGGACTACCATAGCAACTACTACTACCTGGTCCCTTCCTGCACTGTTCTCTTTTCTGGGCACTCACATCCTTCTGGCTTACATGTGGCTTGTTCTCATTAGCTTATTCCTGGTAGTTAATTGTTTTATGTCAGTCTTTCTCTCTCCATTTTGGAATCCTTGATGCTAAGAGCAGAGTATATGGTAATTAATTACCAAAGATGTTCTCCAAAACTCATAACTTACAGTGTTTCACAGAGAAAAGTTGTGGTGAGCAGCTCTATAATATCCATGCATTTGGTTTGGCAAAAGAGTCTTGGTGTTGAGATGGGGCCTTCCTAACAGACTCAAAGGTAAGTAACCTCCATGAATGGAAGAATGTCTCAGAATGGTATTCTAACAGCAGACAGTGCCCCTCCCCTTGTATTAAATCAGTCTAAATTCTAGCAAGCTGATCTGTTCCTTTACCACTAAGCTGTCCATTTCCACCCAGTTGGTGTTGGCTAAATTCTGTAGGCTAAGTAGGAGAGACCACGCATTGATAAATGCAGCAAATGATCCTAAGTTGCTTTGCTTTGTTTTCGAGATGAGTACCTGGTAAAACCAAAAAGTACTGGGAAACTTCTCAGGCAATTTGTGTAGTTTTTATATTTGGGGGGACCAGTGTTTGTTCTCTACAGGAGTCCTTGTGGGAGTTCTAAGGGTAGCCACACTCTAAGGGTAGCTGAATGCTCCATCTCTCCTTGTTCAACACCTATTAATTCTGCCAGCACTGGCCTCACCTGTGGTTCCAGGAAGTGCTAGTATGTGACAAGCCCTAAAGATACAGTCCAGTCACCCAGACATTGATGTGAGGCACAGAACTGGATCAGTATGGAACCAACAACCTGCTTTATTTAGCCAGTAAGGTGGCACTTCTGAAACTTCCAAAGCCTCATGTGACAGAATCTCAGCTTCTATGTGGTTCCAAATCGTTCTAGAAAGTTGAGGGAGGTCCCTGTTCTTGTACAGCTTGCTTTCCTCTAATGCATTTCATGAGGAGAGAAACACACACGTCTGCCACACAGTCTCAGATCTTGCCAATGCTGGACCGTGGCTTAGCTCTGAGAATCTTTGTGGCAGCCAAATCTCCTCGTGTGACATTTGAGGCAGTTGAGTGTCTCGCCAGGTTTGCGGGTCTCAGTGGTAACCACCTAGTCAGTGGACTTGGTTGATTAGATTTGGCACCCTTCAGTCACTCAGGCATGCGGAATAGTGGAGGGAAGTCTAATCAAGTATTTCTGCCAGTCTCCTGGCTCAACTTTGAAAACACTAAGTCTTAAAAACAATGACAAGTCTGGGAAGAACTGCCTGTCACGAAGTCCCCAGTTGCTAACGTTGTCTCTTACTGTGGCAATTATTGCAGGTGGTTCTCATTAACCCAGCTCTGAAACACCGCATTTCTAGATTCAGCTGAGCTAAAAGAGAGATCCATTCTAGTTCCCTGTCAAACTGGGGAAAAGTTGAACTGTGAACCATTAGTTCCTAGTTGATGTGTGAAGAATTTGCAAATGGTGCCTTGTTAAATAGCAGTCAAATACTTATTTTGAACACTTTATAGAAGACCGTGAGCATGGCATGGGTGTGGAGAGGGAAGGCTCCCCATGGGCTACCATGTAGTTCATGTGCTGGGCTGTAGAGGTGAGCTTGGCAGCTACTGGGAATGTGGAAACTCTCTGAAGGCTCTTTGTGAAGGCAGACGAGGTGGGGCAGGGCAGGGCAGGGCCAGGCACTGTCAGACTTCCCTGATAAATGGCAGGTACACGCTGCTAGCACTTTTCTGCCTGCCATTCTGGTTCGCCGTGGGGAGCACCTTTCCTTTTGCATTTGTCTTCTCTGGCTCCTAACAGTTTGGTTGCAGCGTCCAGCTAGCACCTGTTGCCCCATGCTGTGCTAGCATTTGGGTTTCTGCTTGGTACCAGGGTCTCATTTATACTGGACAAATATTTCACCACTCAGGTCTATCTCTGGCCTCATTCTAAAACATTTAAAAAAAATTTTGAGACAAGGTCTCACTCAATTGTTCAGACTGGTCTTACTGTACTCTGTAGCCCAGGCAGGCCTTTGAACAAGGCATCATCATGCCTCAGTCTCCCATGTATGTGGGAGGACTGGAATCCTATGCCATAAGGCCCATTTGGTACTTATTCTTTGGTGCAAGATTACTGAGAAGCCCCAAAAGTTATTTTTTGTGCAAGTGAAAGCTATGCCAGGGTAAGGTCATCGTAACAATGCTCTGAATGGCAGAGCCATCATGCCACCATTAGCTGTGTGACTTTGGACAGCTTCTGTTCCGAGTCTCAGCTTTCCTACTTTTAAAATAAATTAGGAAAGCTGGCCTTCAGTTCTGCTGTGCGTAATTCTGCTCCTTGCTTTTCAGGTTGCTTGTGCCTATATTACAGTCTGTGGTTTTGTCCTGCAAGTCTCAGCAGTGTGAATTTCTTGCTTCTTTCTATTAAACAGCCTTCTTGATGTTTAAGAGTTTATGGGATCCGTAATATGTGGAGACCAAATAATCATGTAAATATCCACTCATGTGCACACACTTTTCAGAGGATATAGGCACTTATTTGAAAGGAAAAATAAGACATAGGAGAAAAAATGATTCTCCTTGTTAAAAAAAAGAGACTAGTTAGACATTTCTCTTGTGACTCAAATCACTTCATTTTTAATATGATTCTGGGGAATGAATGACTGAGCTTAACTAATACCTGTGTTCCATGAATAAAAGTTGAGAAGGGAGCCTTTCCTATATTCAATGAGGTGTGTGAGCTTATACATTTCTAAGTGCTTCTGAGCTGGAATTTTTTTGTTTGTGGCAGGGGAGGGTGCTGAAAGTGTATTGAACTGGCAGGAGAAGTAGCCCAGCCCACATGACCATGATGAAGCACTGAGCCCAGCCATGCAATAAACCACTATCATCTGGGGTTTTATCAATGCAGCGTGTCTTCCCAAACCACTATGTATTTGAGAATGTTACTTTCTTTTTAAAACACAGGGCAATGGAAAATTCCTGCACCCAAACATTCAGTACTTACTCTTATGGCATGAACCCTTTGACCACTGATAGAGAAAGGGCATGATGTCAGCTATGGGGGCAAAGCTGTTTGAGGGGACTCCAGAGTTTAGATGAGCTATATAGCTTCCACAAGGCAGAAGGAACTTTGTCTGGGAAAGTAGGGAACTTATTTAGCACAAATGTTTCTACAGTTCTGAGTTGACTACTGTGTGATGTCAGGACCTAGCTCCCTTTGCTGTGGCAGCCAAGTCAGGTGTGACTGATTTCTTGGCTGGGGTAAGGTCTGAGTCCCTTTGAGTCCTGAAACCGAAAGAATCTGGCAAACCAGGAACTGTTTCCGTCTCCTGCTTCTTGGTCCAGTGCTCCGTGTGTTGCACCACACTGCCTTTAGGGATCCATGTTAAGTAGTGCCAAACTTAGTATTTGCATGCAAATGCACCTTGTCTGCTTAGCCCCAAGTATATGGTTTTCTATCCCTTCCCACCAGGAGTATTTCATCGACATCATCTTCTCTCAGACCTGGTATGATGAACATCTTTGTTACAACGACACCTATGAGACCCTTGTTGTGCACGGCAATGTGATGAGCCACTTGTGGATTCCGGATGCCTTTTGGGGGAATTCTACGAGGGCCTATGCATATGGTATCACCATGCCCAGCCAGAAGACTTGTATCCACAAGGATAGAAAGGTGTCGCACTCAGATAGGTATGTCAAGCCTTTAGTGTCGCCCCTTCTGGGGCTCTTCTACTTCTTTCGGAAATCTTAACCAAACACTCCTGAGCAGATGTCATTCTGCATAATATTTCTACAAGCCTGCCTAGCTTTCCAAGACCAGGAGCCCAACCTCTTCCAGTTCGGGTACAGGCACAGAGATCTCAAAATAAAAGGACACTGCATGAAGACATATACCAAGTTTGCTCCTAAACGTGGGAGCTGTTTCTTGGCTCCAAGTCAAGAATTCCTTCAACTGGAATGTGCCCATAAGACTGCATTGCCTAGACAATTCCATCCCAAGTGGGCAATGGATGTAAAGACATGTCCACGGTGGTGGAATTGTCTGGGAAGAGTAGCAACACAGTGATTGGAAAGGTAACTAAGACTAAGTTAGATAGTAGGATGCCTGGCTGGGGAAGCTTGTGTTGGCAGTGCAGGCTGTGGAGGTAGCAGAGTGTGGAAAATTGCGAGGTTGGGGAACTGGGCTGGGCCAGAAAACATAGTCCATCTAGGCTTTCAAGACACTTCTCTGATGGTGGGAGCCCAGAGTAGTGAGATTAGAAGCTCTTCTTCATCTCTTTCATATCTCTCCATGGAGCTTTTCATCTTAAATTCTACTGTTGTCATTCACTGGAAGTTTTCCCCGGTCAAAGTTGAGTGAATACCTAAGTGCTCAGAGCCAGCCTAATGGGGCACCTTTCTCCCTTTCAGGATGACCGTTGATGCGGGATGTTCCCTCCACATGCTCAAATTTCCAATGGACTCTCACTCTTGCCCTCTGTCTTTCTCTAGCTGTGAGTACCTTCTTAGGTTTCTGGGGATCCAGAGATATACTGGGCCCCTCTTTTTTCTCATCTTTGCTTTTTATATTTTCTGCTTCTGCTTTTCTCCTAAGATGGTGGCAAGCTTGTACAAAGCCTCCATTCTCCACACATCCCATCCTCACCTGCATCCTCCACACATCCCATCCTCACCCCCATTCTCCACACACCCCCATCCTCACCTCCATTTACACACACCCCCATCCTCACCTCCGTTTTCCACACACCCCATCCTCACCTCCATTCTCCACACACACCCCACCTTTCCTGCCAACAGTGCTGTGCTGCATTACGTTGGCTTTGTGTTGGAGTTGTCCCTCACCTTGCTCCACCTTAAGCTAGTCACCTGCTTCTGAAGTGTATCTAAAGTATGTCTGCTCCTCTCCATCTCTCCCTTAATGCAGGGCTTTATCATCTGCTTTGACCTTTGCAATATCTTCACTTTGAAACTGAACATGTTCTAAGCTAAATTCATTGTGTCCCCCAAGCCCCTGCCCCCAAGGTAAATGTGTTGCTTCTGTGTTTCCATCAGCCTCACTGAAGGGTGCCACCAACCCACCCTGTTGTCCAAGTCAAGAACTTTGATGCTTCCCTTTCGCTAACCCTCCACATCTATACAATCCACATATCCTGTTGGTGTTACCTCCAGATTTCTACTAATTCCATCTATTATCTGCATTCTGACTGTTACAGCTTTGACTCCTACCTTCATTTATTTATATTGTGCCTAGACTGTGGCACTGGCTTCCCATAACTGGCAACGTGCCAACATGCTGCTCTCACATTAGAACCACAGTGACCTAGTGGAAGCACCATATAGAGCAGGTCATTTTTCATGACAAATCTTTTCTTAGCCCACACAGATCAATTCTAAATTCCTTAAAATGACCATCAAGGCCCTTCATGACTCGGCTTCCTCTGCTTCCTGCTGCACAATTCATCTGTGTGCCCATTACCCTAAAGTTTTTTTCTGTTTCCATATTAAGCCAGGCATTTCACCTTCTGTGCTGCCCCATCAACTGCATCAACCTTATCTATATGAAGACTTTCAAGACAATGTGAATGTCACGTGCTTTATGAAGTCTTTTCCAAGTCCCCAAGTGGCCCTTCCCTACCTTGCCCATGGCTCCGTGAATAACGATTTTTCAGAGCAACTCCCCCAGACCACAGCTGCAAACTGTCTTAATGAAATGGGAATGCGAGAGACGGGTTCCTGGCTTGCTGACCTTTGCATTCCCAGCCCAGGGCCTGGTACTAAGGACTCTTCAGTAAATATACTTACTGAATGGGGTTCAACAACCAGGCAAGAGGCAAGGTCCCACAGCTGGTGAGGCCAGAGTCAAAACTCCAAAGTGTGACTGAAGCTGACTCCGTGCTTGTTGGGACCTCTGTTGGGCTTCCCAGTCTCACGCGACCCTCTTTTCCACATTGATTTCCAGGGTCCTATGATGAGAATGCAACGATCTACAAGTGGGAGAATGTCAAGCTTGAAATCGTTGAGAAGAACACTTGGAACCTCTTCCAGTATGATTTCACCGGAGTGAGCAACAAAACTGAAATCGTCTCAACTCCAACTGGTGAGTGTTCAGGGGGATCTAGGGCTGAGCAGTAGCTGAGGAAGGATAACCGCAGGTGGTCATTTGTACAAAAGCTGTACATAAATCCTGTGGAAATACTCTGTAGGATGTGGCTCCTGGATTGTACATGCTGAGCACTTATAACTGTTTGCAGAGGAAACTGAGACTTTATAACTATGTCTCAGTCTCATCTGCAAAGAAGTAAGTGCTTTGCCAAGCTCCCCGAGAGGTAAGTGCCTACAGTATTGTGGCTGTCAGAATGTGCATTTACCTTTGTCCTCCAGATTCTTCTGGGTCAGTCTTTGTTATAACACTGACTCACTAGGATGGCTTTGGAGAAGGGTTCTTATTTGATTCTTCCTTGCCCAGAACCAACCCAAGCTGTTTGAACAGGAAGCAAGGTCCATCTTAATGGGACGTAAAGGTGGAAACTAGAGTCCTAGTGTCTGCTAGTGAGGGCCAGGGTAGTCTGCAGGAAGTTACACAGTAGCAATAGCTGCCACATAAACATTTGTCTTAAAGGAACATCCCTGTAAAGCACAGATTGCCATCAAAAGCTTCATGGTGGATTCAACAAAGACATGGTGGTTATTGATTTTTCTGACCTTGTTCCTGACAAGGATGTAAGGGGTGGATCCTGGGTCTTCTAACTTGCAGCTCCCAAACAGATGTGAGCATCTTTGCTTGTATTCCTAGGTGATCTGAATGAGGAGCCAAAGAATCTCCCCAGGGTAGCTCCCAGAGCAACCCTGGAACCTCTTCATATGTATTGACCAGAATGTGGATGGAGCAAGTCACCCAGCCAACTATCTGTCACGGGAAGCATCTTGCTTTGCTTCTGGTGATGACACAAAATCTGCTTCACTTACTGAGTTGGTCGGTGGGGGAGGGACGGCTCATGCTCACCTGGCTAAAGCTTTGCTTACAGAGTACTAGGCAGGGGATGGGAGCTGCTTTAAAAATGCTTTTCTTTTCTTGGGGTTCTGAGAAAGATACTTCGCTCCCTTTGGCTTGGGATCTTTGCTCTTCCACCAGTTTCTCCAGATAGGTGGAGACCCGTCATCCAAAATGGCCGAGGAGACAAGGCCCAGGGGCTTTCAAGTCACTAGTGGTTCCGTTTAGTAGATGGTTTGCACATTGTTTCAAAATGGTGCCCTAGTGACTACAAAGCCCCAGAGCCAGCATCATCACTGAAGCAGTGACAGTAGGTAAGCACCAGCTCTCCTCGGGGAGAGAGGAGTCATTCTTCTTTTTCTTCTGATGGAGACTGCTTGTTCTTGATTCATGCTTTCTCCACTTGCAGAGCTATCCTTGGGACTGGTTCCAAAGTCTCCCTGTTAGATCCTGGAACAGTCTTCTCCAGCTGGAGCACAGTGTACTCATTTCATCAGGGTTTAGAATGCAGCAGTGGCCTGCAACTTGGGCCATTTTGGACCTTAAAGCAGAGTCTGTGCTTTAGGAGCTTCTCAGAAAGTACAACCCTGCCCTCAGTAAGTGAGCCACCCTCCACCCACAGCTGCTGAGCCCCTGGGGGAATTTTGCCATGGTCAGTTGACCATCTTGCAAGGAAGCAACTTCCTTCTCCAGACAGTTCTTACCATCAAAAACTCTCCCTGTTCTTCTGAAACTGGAGGCTAGGCCTTTTATCTGTCATATCTGATTCTTTTTCCCTAGAACTATTCTGTTTATGTTAACTGAAGTCCCTCTTCCAAGACGTCAAATTTAAAGGGCTGGTATTATCATCAGAGCACTGGTTCACAGTCTATACAGCCCTACTTCTTTTCCTCTCTTGTTCTTCAAAGGCGTCGGTTCACTTATCCTTCTAGCCCATGTCCTCCATACACAGTCTTTTAATTGTGTCCTTCTGACACTGCACTGACCAACCATGATGTGGACAAAGCAGGTAAGATAGAAAATCATCTTTAATACATGCTTTTTGTTTTGGCTTTCAGCCCTCCATATCTTTCTTCTCTTGCCATTGTGTCAGTGCTCCTCAGGAAGGAGCAAACGTGTGTTCGTATCCTTCTCCTGACAAATTTTTAACTCTGAACACATGAGAAGTTCTTCTTTAGTCAGTGTCAATAAAATTCAAATGGAGAGATCCCACAGAGTAACAGGTCTGCTGACAAACACATAGACTCGGGACTTAGGTGGCAATAGTGAATTTGGGCAAGACCCCAAGTCAAGAGAACTAGGAATGTGACATCCTGGCTAGTAGGCAAGTCTGAGGGTGGTCCTTGCTGCAGTGCTTGAGGAATTCTACTCCCAAAGAAGCGACTCTGGAATTTCCAGTGATCCTAGAGAACATCGTTCCCTTTCCTCAGAAGAATCTGAGCACCTTTGCTCCTTGAGTGTCAGTGCTTTCAAGATAACTACAAAATGCTGCTCCCCTGCTTTGGCGTCTTTGGTGTCTCCTTTCTGGAGAGTCCTTAATGTTTGCCCAGGGGTAGCCTTCCACACTGTTCCAGGCTTGGTTAGTTAATGGCTAAGCTGAAGGGCCCACATGAATACTTGCTGGAAGGGATTTAAAAGCTCACTTAATTCAAAGTCAAGAATCTCTATAGCATTAAAGAGGCAGGGATTTGCAGCTTAGCTTCACAAAAGAGCCAGTACTGGGGCAATCTAAAGACCAATATGATATGGAGAGTAAAACTTAATACTCTGGGCTCAGAGAAAAGCCCAGACTACACACAGAGTCACGATTAGCACGAGGAAGTGTTTGGAGCAACATGAGCAACAGAGTCTGCCCACTGGTGACATAGGTGTTCATCAGTTCTCGTAGAGTCTATTGCCGGTTCAGGCAAAGTTGGTTCTTAGTGTCAGATTACAGAGTATATAGTTGATTGTGTAGTTTGTCTGCATCAAAGAGTCAGTAGAAGTTAAGGAGACAGGAGAACGTTTGCCTTTCGAAAAACAGACTTTTGGAGAGTTAGTGAACAGAGGAAGGGATCATTAGCACGCTTGTGTTGGCTTAGCTCGCAGCTGGCTGTGGGTCTTACAGGAAGTCTCCCTCTGAGCTTCTGCTGCTATGTGTATGGCACTGAAATACTGTGACTCAGTCTTAGGACTCTGGTCGGGTACCCCGTGACCTGGACAACGGGACCCATGATGTGTCTGTCCTGCTGGACATCTGCTTCAGTGCTGTAGTGCAGTGGTGTATTTTATGTCTTTCAGGTGACTTCATGGTCGTGACATTTTTCTTCAATGTGAGCCAGCAGTTTGGCTTCATTGCCTTTCAGAACCGTGTCCCTTCTTCTATGAACACAGTCTTCTCTTGGGTCTCTTTCTGGATCAAGCTAGAGCCTGATTCGGACAAGACAACTTTAGGTAAGAGAGTGAGGTGAGCATAAGCATGGGTGCATGGTAGAGCGTTAGCTTTGCTACGGCACAAATTTACCATCTCCTGGTGCCCTTGGAGCAGCGTACTGCATGAGTCTTTGCTCTTATAGGATCACTTGTGTACTCACCAGGGCCATACTAGGCACCTTTTCTCGTAAGAATTTCCTCATGTCTCCTATCTCACAGCTTTGGACTGCTATATTGCCATTTGTTTCGTCTTCTGCTTCTGTGCTCTACTAGAATTTGCTGTGCTCAACTTCCTGATCTACAATGAGACGAAACACCATGCTTCTTCAAGATTCTACCAGGTAAGAACTGGGTATTGGAGCAGGAGGCAACATTTTAGAATGGGGAACCCCAACAGTGAGGGAGCTAGGGTTATGGCACATGGGTGGCCAGCTTCCTAAGTGATGAGAAGTTCCGTGGGGTGGTGGAGGAAATAAGCCTCCTGTTGATGGAAATCCCAGAGGGCCAAGATGGGATGTGCCAAATTCAGTTTCTAGGAAATGCTAGGCAAACTTTAGTTTTGACTCACATTCCCCTAACCATCTCCTCCTTTTTTCATTTGTCCATTGCAGCCTCTGACCGGTAGCCGTGGTAGTGCCCGCACTCGTGCTCGTGCCCGTGCCCGTGCCCGTGCCCGCCAGCAGCAGGAAGTGTTTGTGTACAAGATTCTCACCTTCGAGGGAAACGATGAAGAGGATCATCAGTCCTGTCCAGTCCGTCGACTTCAAAGGCCAAGAAACCCCCAGTGTCCTAGAAAACGGTGTGTGAAGACGACCAACTACGTGTGCGTCAAGGTTTTTAGAAAGTATTTCTGCATGGTCCCTAATTGTCAGGGCAGTACCTGGCAGGAGGGCCGCCTCTGCATCCACATCTACCGCCTGGATAACTACTCACAGGTGCTTTTCCCAGTTACCTTCATCTTTTTTAATGTGCTGTACTGGCTGATTTGCCTTAACTTGTAGGTGCCAGCTAGTACTTCATGGGGCAGCCTCTTCAGTTCCCCGGGAGGTACTAAGCCCCTTGCCAAGGGAGTTAGGAGACAACAGCAACAGCAGCAGGAGGACCTAGAGACAGTCTTTTCTTAGCTCTTCCCCAGTGCGAGTCTGTGGAGAGTTTGCCTTTGCTGGCCCCCTCTTCACTGGTCCCTTCGTTTGATCTCTTTAATAGCCCCTCTCAAGTAACAGGCCACCACTATTTGGAAAAGAGCATTCATGATGCTCAGCATGCCCATGTATGAGCAGATCAGCCCTGCTGACTGTGTTGACAGCTACTGCCTTTCCCCAGAAACCCATGATTGCCTTTGTGGTGCCAAGGGGCCCAGCTCAGACTCAGCTCCAGAACACACAGAGGATGAATAGCAGCCAGAAGGTCCCTGTCCTCAAGTCTTTAAGTCAGATCATTGGATTCTTGTTTCTCTACCTGCCCTCCCCCTTCCTTCACGGACAGAAGCACACTGGCAATATCTCTGTAGGAGGAGAGGAGCCAACAAGTGGCCTGTTTGGGACAGTACACCCCTCTGCTGCTGTGCTATCTCCTTCTCCCCATCTGCCTCCATCTGCACTACCAATTCAGTTCCCTTCATCCAGTGGGTATTTATTTTCATGTGTAGTGATAGTGATTGGCCTCTGCTTTGTATGCCTCCTTCTTCCTCTTTCTTGACCCTTGTGATTTTTTCTGTAACTTCCCTGGTGACTTTCCCAGCCCTGATCCAGGTGCTAGGCCTTGGTGACTTCTTGGGGCCAAGAAACTAAGAACACTCTGCTTTGCAGTGGGCATTACCTGCCAATGATTGGTGCTTACCTCTGGCACAATCTAGAAGTTTGACTGCTTCCTTGGCCCCTGGACCCAAGAGCCAGTCCACTGCCATCCCCGGGGCACTCACACAATCACAATCAATTGAATTCCCTTAAATTTGTACAGCACTTTCCCTTTGGCAAAGCATTTTTGACAAATCATTTCTATTTGGAGCCTTGTTTTAGCCCTGTGACATCTCTAGGGCACAGTTCGTTTTCCCATTATGCAGATGGAAGCCCTGAGATACAGATTTCTATGGGATGGTGGATCTTGCTGGAAGCCACTCTGGAGCTTAATGTTACCACGTGAAAGGGCTAAGGAACTCTGGTCACCATGATTCAATTCTCTTTCCTCTGCTGGCACCCCAGTGGCAGGGCCCAGAATGACAAGCTCCCTTCAGCATGGGCTTGCTCCATAACTGGGCCTGAGGTGCTCAGACTGATACCCATCTTGAACTTCTCACTGGCCCACCCAGTGAAACGAATTTGTACATGCCCCAATGCTTGTATATGCTGAATGAAATCTGTGTCTGTATGTTATGGGGGGTGGAGGGAGGGGATCCCATCTGCTTTTTGTCACTATCATCTGTAAAGGGGAATATATGAATAAATGTATCAGCAAAGCATTCGATGTGTGACTGCTTTCTTCGATATTCAAGCTCGCTTTCAATTACATTTATTATTTGATCATTTCATGCTCATATATAATGCAATCTGATCACATTCACTCTTATCTCCCTCCCAGGCCATCCAAATCCTCTCCCAACAATTCTCCTTCCCACTTTCATGTCTTTTTGTAGTTGCTGTTGTTTTAAGTTTTGTGACTCACTGAGTTTAACGAGGGCTGCCCCTCATGAGTGTGTCGGTGGAACTGTCCTCTGGAGCTTGTGGGGCTTGCAGCTGAGAACAATGACTCTATGCCCCTCTCCCCAGCAGCCCTCAACAGCCAGGAGTTCCTTGGAGAGGGCCAGGGCTCTATGATTTCCTCCCTGGTCCCTGACTGAAAGTTGAGAGACCCAGTCTTGTGTGGGCCCAGTATGGGCAACCACAGCTTCTGTGGGTTCATGACTGCAATGGCTATGTCAAGTCCCGAAAACATGTCTCAGTGCTCTTGATCATCTGGCTCTTACATTCAGCTCAGGTTTTAAACCTGAAAATCAGAGACATACACTTTTATTCGTTCTTTTCCCCGATCCCTATCACACCTACCAGACATGTACCGAATACTGTTTTACGATTCATGGGGACCAAAGACAAGAAAGCCCCAGGATGTGCGGCTGCCTTCACGTATTCCTTGCCTGCCTTTATGCCTTCATTCCTTCCATGTTCCTGCTGCAGTGCTCTTCACTCTTGCCCTTACCATTTCAGAACTAGAAGGTTCCTGGGTGCCAGGCTCAGCTGTCTTATACTACCTCCCCTCCCCTGCCTGTACCATATGTAAAAATGGAGAAATCTTAATAGCCTGGCTCCAAACAGAAGTGATTTGTCAAGGCTGGAGACCCTGACTGTTTACTTCTCAAAAGAAATTTCTAAAGGTATGTTGAGAAATCTTACAGCTGGCATCCTGTGACATTTCCATCTGAAGCAATACAAGGAACCCAGAGAAGACAAAAGTATCTGTGAACAGCTGACTCTTGGTCATAAAATCCTTACTGTGGTGTTCAACCACTTTCCCTTAACAATAAAGCCTTATCTTTGGGCTGTGTGTATGACTCAGTTATAGAGTGCTTTTCTAACATGCACAAGGTCCTAGATTCAATTCCTACTACTTCAAGAGGAGATAAACCATATCTCTACACTATATTTTCTAATATCCTAACTCATTGAAAATGGCAAGTAATGATTTAAAAACTAGGGAGATGTTTCCTCACTTTTACTTCTCAAATTAGAATATGTACAAAAAAATCGGTGGTCTTGCTTCTAAGCAAAGTAGGCATGTAAGATGTGAAGCTCCATATTTAATTTTTTCTTGCCTTTTTGAGACACGATCTCTTTAACCTTAGCCGATCTAGAATTTACTACGGAGACGAGGTTCCCCAGATTTCACAGAAATCCACCTGCCTCTGCTTCCCTAGTGTTGGGATTAGAGTCCAGCTCAGGCCCCATATTTAACTTTAAAGTATAAAAGTAGTAGAAACCAGATTCCTTAATTGCAGTACAATAAAGTTTGAAACTCATAAATAACTTAAGAACCTTATATAATTAGTTATTTTCAATGAGGAAATTGAAACAATAACTGCATCCACACCTAAAAAAATTAATGAAGAAAACACTGCCTAACAAAACCCATAAGGTGCAACTAATATTAAACTTAGAGAAAACAATATAATTTAGGCATTTCAGTAAATACAGAGAAGTTTGGGGAAAGGAAGATTTTTAAAAATATAAACAATAGAGAAAGAACAAGTTAAGCATTTGAAACACAATAAAGTTCTCTTTTTACACTCAAATTATAGAAGAATTTCAGATTTCAGTAGGAGAATGGGAAATGGGGGTGAAAACGACTAAAATTCACTATATCAATGTTAAAAAAAAGGAAATCCTAAAGGAACCCAGATAATATTGGTGAATTCAACTAGAAAGAGAATCCTGAGGCTTGATCTTAAGGGAAGGAGAGAAACAATGGAATGGAATGGAATACATGAGACCTCAAAGAAGTTGGTGTGACTGGGAAAAGGAAGGGGACTATCCAGAGTGAGGGGAGGGTATTAGGGTAATAGGATGAATTCTAAAAAAAGTATAATGGCACATTATGTATGAGAATGCCATAATGAAAGTCAGTATTTGTACACTAATTTTTGCATTCTATTTATTTAGTTATTTATTGAGTGTGGGGGTATTCAGAAACCAGAACACACATGTGGAGATCAGAGGACAATTTGTGGAAGTTGGCACTCTTCCTCCATGTGGGTTCTAGAGATGGAGCCCGAGTTGTCGTGTACTTTTGTGGCAAGTACTTTTACTCACTGAGCTACCTCATCAGCCCTGTATGTTAAATTTAAAATTGAATTTTAAAAAGGTCATGTCGAAAAGCAAGATTGGGATGCAGAAAATTAACCTGAAACTGCTGTAGGACCTGCACCTTTGGAGGCCTTGCAGGGAGCAAGGACAGGTGGAGGAGAAAATGGACTACAATGTAGTCAAAAGAGCCTCAACTAAAAACATGGGCGTCCTGGAGTCACTGACATGATCTTTCCAAATTATCACAAAGCAGAGAAAGGGGATGAATCTCCAGATCCCATCATCAGATGTGACCTACCTTCCAAGCTTCTGCATTTAGCACTCTAGTTCATCTTATCAGCAGCTTCCAGGGGGTATCTGAGTAATGAAATCCCAGACTTTGTGCTCAACTTTCATACCTTTGGCTGGGAAATACATCTCTGTATTCAACTGAGTAAATATAAAGCCCCGTCTCAGTGGGTGAAACACTATGCCCTTGTATGGGAACCCTGGGTAAGGCTCTCCAGTAAAGGAAAGCAAATTCATGTCTGGAATATATGTTGTTGAAGTCAACATGAGTCAGTGCCTCTGTCTAGTTTTAGAGAAGCTCTACGTAGTCAATGTGTTTCCAAGTGGCTGATCGGATTCCTTCAGGAAAGATGGCACACAAGGGAAATCCTTGCTGGTCTCTTTTGTTGGCAAGGGCAATAAAGAAATGGACCTTTGTGAGAAGGAACCATGCTGTGGTGCTTACATATAACTTTCAGTTCTATTATCATAGGACAGTTGCCAGATTTGGCAAATCAAATCACTGTCCAATTAAATGTGTATTTCAGATACATAACAAATAAATTTGGTATAAATACACATCATTTAAAGTGATGCTTTCCTGGAAGGGACTGTTCCTAACTTAGGACTGATCACTGCAGGAGACTGGGAATATGGACATGTATGTCAAAGACAAGACTCCTTCAATAAGCAATCCTTGCATTTGAACCCCCATATGTGTGACTGAGACTCAGATATCAGACGCCATTTTGTGTAAAAGTTCTTCCTGTCTCCTCTTGTTCCCTCTTCTTTTGTAGTTCAAAGGCATTCACCCCAATAAATTCCTTACTGTTCCAATCCCATTTTGGCATGTGTTTCCCAGATGACTTGAATTGACACAAATAGCACCAGGAATTATTCAAGACAAGATGCTGAAAAAGTGGGGGTTGTGGGACTGGTAAGAACAACCTACCTTGAATGGTGTGTGGGGCACAGACAGTACCTGGGACACTATCATTAAGCCCAAATTCTGAATGTTTCATGGTGGTGACCTGTGGATACAACCCAGCGGGAGAACTGTGTTTCAAGGTCACACACTTGAAGACTGGGATGAGCAGAGAGTAAGACTGTAGGGTTCTTGCTAGTTTGTACTAATGCCCTACAGAAAGGTCAAAAGAGACCAAAGGTCATTAATAACAGTTAACAGGTAACTATCAGAATCAGAGGACATCTTTGGAAATTTAAAAATAGATTCTTCAGCTGGGCATGGTGGCGCATGCCTGAAGTCCCAGCACTTGGGAGGCAGAGGCAAGCAGATCTCTGTGAGTTCAAGGCCAGCCTAGTCTACATAGTAAGTTCCATGACAGCTGGGGCTACAGGGAGACCCTGCTTCAAAAAGGCAGAAAAAAAATAGATTGTTCTACACTAGAATAAAAACTGTAGAAGAGAAATAACCCAGAACATAAGAGTCAGATTTGAAAAGCTACAGAGATGAACTAAATGTTTGGCAAAATCATGTCGATTAAGCTAAAGCGAGTGAGTTCTCTGTTTGGGAAAACCTAATACTCTGAAACATTGTGTTGGTGGCTTATGAACAATAAACCTTTTTCTCGAAATTCTGGAGAATGTGAATTTAAAAATCAAGATGCTAGAAGATAGAGAGGCTACTGAAGGAGTGCTTTATGGTTCATACATAGATGGCAGCCTTTTTATTGTGCCCACAAATGACTGGAAGGAACCCCTGGAGTTTCTTATAAGAGTATTAATTCCATTCATGAGGGTTATACCATCATGATCTAATTATTTATCAAAACTCCCATCTCCTAATGTTAGCACACATAGGGGTCTGGGAACACAAATATTAATTCTATGGCATAGAGCTAGTAATAATGGGCATGATGGTGCCACAAAGCAATTAAAACAAAGCATCAGTAGTTAATTACCGGAAGTCAAGGCCTAAAATTATTTTAACTTGCTAAGTTAGAGTAGCCAGTGGAGCCTGACCTGTGCACAGAACATTGTGATGGTTGTTAAAAGAACAGGCAAAATGACGAGCTGCCATAATGGTACCATTTTAAATATATGATCAGAAAACATGAACCCAGGAACAGAAAGACGACGATGATGTTTCCAAATAAAAAAGTCACAATGCTTTTCTAGTTCATGGATCAGAACTGTAAACTATGTATGGGGTAAATGGTCAGGTCTTGAGGGAGAAGCATCTTGCAATACCACAGCAAATATAAACTAGGATTATAAACCAGGTGTGGTGGTGCATGCCTTTAATCCCAGCACTCAGGAGGCAGAGGCAGGGGGATCTCTGTGAGTTCAAGGCCAGCCTGGTCTACATAGTGAGTTCCAGGACAGCTGGGCTACAGGGAGACCCTGTCTCAAAAAGACCGAAA